TTTGCTTGATAACATTCCTAAAAGATTTCACTGAAGTCCCTCGTCGCCGAAAAACGTGAGACATGCGCGGTCTCCAAAGTGTTAAGGAACGATGCTAATTTTGAATTAATCAGTAACAAAACATACTGACACTTTATTATTCTCCTCTAAACAAAATTGGTAGCAGAACACGCATAAGAAAATGAAAGGGATAGAAATGCAGGATCGTAACCTTCGAATACTTATGACAAACTCCACGATGCTTTTAGATCTTATTCCCAAGGTAAGATTTACACGATGAGAGTCTTGACACGGACCAGTATTTGGGATTCATGAGTTTAGGGTCTTCACAATAGAAACACATATTTTCACGGATGGAACCACAAAATGAGGCATTACACGAATAAACTCCATGTTGTAGACAATCATTTGAAAACAACCATATTCAAATCAAACACAGTAAGCATCACTCTACGTGCTCATTTCCACGTCTACTCCAGGTGGAGGTGGTTCGTCACCACCCATCTCAGGTTCCTCCTGTTTTACCTCTACTAATGGCCGGCTGTCGCGATCACGGTCCTCCTTATCCTTTTCCTTGTCTCTTTCTTTCTCTCGATCTTCCTTGTCCTCTTTTTCGCCACGGTCATCGCGTCGCGATCGCTTTTCCCGCCGGTCGCGATCGTCGCTTCGTCTGTCTCGCCGATCTCCATCGTCGTCCTTGTCCTTCTCCTTATCGTGTCGCCTTCAAAAAAAAAAACATTCATTGCCCTTTCATTTTTCCCGCACTTCCCTGGGAAGCCGTAGAGAAAATATCTATTACCTTCTCTTCCTATCACCATCTTCATCCCGTCTTTCACGCTTCTTATCCTTATCACGATCATCACGACGTTTGCGACCTGCAAAACCTGAGTATAGCCCAAACACAGTCTACACCCTCACATTTTGTACGAATTTCATGAAATAGGCTTTCATCCAAATCATGTGCGAAAGCCAGCTGTAAAGAGGAGCAAAAGTAAACATCACTTTGAAGGCCACTTTCTTCCGTATAACATTGCAAATTTATTAAGCTACCTTCAGCGCTACCGCTTCTTGAACGATGCCGCCTAGTGCTTCGCTCGGAGCGTTCTGTTCGTTCACGTTCCCTTTCCCTCTCACGGTCGCGCTCCTTGTCTCGATCTTTGTCACGATCTTTTTCCCTCTCCTTGTCACGTTCTTTTTCGCGTTCACGCCGTTCATCACGTTCACGATCTCGTCCAGTGTCGCGACTTCGTCTGAATACAAATATTAGAAAAGAAGACAAACCACCTAAAAGCTGGCCTGTTCACAAATATGACACTCATTTTTGAGGTGCGCAGGCCATCTGGCGATAGTAGTTCCGCAACTTTTTTTCTGCAGTTTTTGTGTATTCTCATCACTCCACTTTAGTAGAATATTTGCGCAGTTTTGGTCTTCGTATTTGTGAATAGTGTTCTCTACTCCAACAATTTGCGGGCCTCCATCGAAAGTTCCATGAGAAGTTGAAAGCCTTTGCTGGTAAGGAACGTTACAAGGAAGGTCTTTCAGGGTGTGCCAAGCTTTTTCAAAACGGTCTTTTGCATGATATAGGGGCACATGCGGGAACCACAGAACCATGGTTAATTTTTCCTGAACGGCCCTCTGAATACCAGAAAAGGGGGTCCCTAGTCACACCTTTTTCACCAGTTTTTCAATCAAAGTATTTGTAAGGGTTACTGACGGTCCAATAATCATGAATTGGTACTAATTATTCATGCTAATACTCCATTTTGCCGCGCCAGGGAGTACGTCGACACGTAAATGCAAAAACTTGTCACATACCAGGAATCGCAACTAGCGACCCCTTTCGGTAAACCATTCCACGGTAATATACCATGCTTCTGTGTTCCCCCATATGTGCCCCAAGGCATGAGCAAGTAAACCATTTTGGAAGCTTGCCACATCCTGACACGACCCTCGCTGTGTGAGTATCCCAAACAATGTAATGTCGCGCCGTCATCTTCCCACTCCGTAATGGCAGTAAAATTGAAAGTGGAGGTGCCATTACAACGTTTTATGAGGTCACAGCATGAAGTTAATTCTCATTCTCATACGAACAGATAATAACGGCACAGTGGCTAGGCAAGTGGGCACGCTAATCCACGCGCCAGCGTATCAGCGGGATCGCGCTCTTGATCGTGCGTAGCCGGACCTACCGACTGCCTCCCGGCTCTCCGGCCGTTCCGTGGGACCCGTAGCCCCTTGCGTGGGAAGGATCCGAAACACCCTGATCTGAGAAAACGTAAGCCGCGCCCTGACTGCCGCACAAATAATACTGAATGAGTGCCAATGCATTCGAAACACACACCGAACGAATGCACTACAAATGAGAAAATATGAGATCGTGCCGCTTCCGAAAAAACGAGTTGAATTACTCCGAGCGCTCAAATTATTCCCTCTTACGCCTGCTTATCCTAGTAAACGCCCAATAAAAATGGTACATTCCCATTCAATGACACCCCACAAAAATAGCGAGGCATCGAGAGCAATAGTCTAAATGATGGAACTCGCATAAGGTATTCTCCACTGGATAATTGAGTCTCGCCTGTACACAAGCGCTCGAAATGCACGCTGGTCACTTATGCTGATCGAGGACACCGAGCGCCGCCAACCATTCGTGCCGCCTCCGTCGTCCCTCGAACGCATCAAAATAAACCAATTATAAAAAAAGAAAAGAGAAGACTACAAGAGGTACTTTGAGAGCAAAATTGCGAGCCACCTCCACTCAAAATCAGACGCTCTCTTCTTCAACAGTGTCAAACTCCGTCCGCATCAACGGACGGAGGCCGACCCAATCCCCCCCGCCTAAAATATAAACTCTATATGACACAACCCAGCAAATTGTCTCAGGAAGATCTGAAAGCTCGCCTCTCTTGAACACGAAAAGCAAATAAGAAATCAAAATTCAATGATTTTAAAGATCCTCAACATACTCACCAGGTGTACTTAAAGAGAATTCATAGAGTCGTACAAACCCCTGGTGACGGGTAGCCATATATATAAAAGTAAAAAGTCGGCGCGCATGTTGTCATACCATCGCCATCTGCAGGGGCGTCGCATCCCTGAGGAGGCAGTGACGAGCCCCGCCGGCTGCGCGCCCCGTCCCCACCCGTAGGATAAAATCTGGAATAACAGCCGTACAGCTTGCCACTAAGATCTGCCTGTCGCATGCCAACAGCCCTCCATGTCCGCCCTATGAAGGTATCAGTCTAACCCTGCCAACCAACCCATCAGCGCCACTAGCTGTTCAAACGTCAACAATGTTATGGAAAGCACCCGCCAAACCAATTCTCAATCTCAATTCCAGCGGATTTTAAAAACCACAACTACGGATTCAAGCTTGAAAAAAAGACATTGGTAGCGTAAACGTTCAAAAATTTTGAAGAGAGGATGTTAAGACGTTGAGAAAGTGAACAGAAATAGCTCACCCTGGAGGAGGCATTGACAAATCCAGTCACTTCCCGACCCTAGGGTGGGTATTGTTTGTGGTTCCAATACGGACTCCTGGTGGACCATCAACTCCGGGCGGCCCAATTATATCGACACCGGGATACCATCTACAAAGTCACCGAATAACTAACTATTACTGCAACTCTTCGTCTTCAAATTCGTACCCATAATATGAATTGGTGGTACTGTCTGTGTAGGAGGCGGCGCAGTAGGCGGCAATCCTGGTGGAGGTTTACTGAAATCAACGACAGGAGCAGGAGCTGGTGTCTGTAAAGATATAACTCCATTCGCGCCGCGATTTGTTCCCGTAATTTTGAGGCTCCAACCAACACAACTGCATGACACAAGAAAAGTCAAGACCCATGCTAATTGAATACGTACCACCTCGCAGGGGGTTCCGTTGGAGCATATTGATGTTGGGACCAGCAATAACCTGTTCTCAAATGCTTTAATGAAAACTCGTCTTAAAATACCGTTGTTATACTACAAATATTCCAATATTGTGTGCCATTACTGGCGAATATATCGATAAAAGCCAGCTCAAACACGACCTAAGTACTCTCTAACCTGAAGGCCTGATCTGGGACTGACCACTGCTTAAATCAAAACGGCCACCTCCGATGTATCTGTGGCAAGTTTGTGGTAATGTGGCTTGAACTTCCCACCCTTGTCCGTCAAACCCCTAACAGCTCCCTCAGTCAGCGGGACCAACTGTCGTCCTCCAGTCGCTGAAAAAGCAACACACTTCGTAATCATAAAAATATATCCAAGACGCGACAGAAAGCAAGACACAACCGAATCAAATAGAATATTTCTCACTCACGAGGCATTCCAAGCGGGTTGGCAAGGTTAATCGATGAGAACAAGGCTTTGTTGGCTGCTGCCTGATGACCATATTCCTGTCTTAATTTCTTTTGCCGCTCACAGTACGTATTCCATGTATCTTGAAATTTGTTACATAGACTCATGAGACAATGGAAAAACAGCCAGAGATTACTGCTAGAAAAATAAGTTCCGAAGGATGCCTTCTGTAAATCCATAATTGAAGTAATCAGTAATGTCTGCTCCAGGTTTTCGCCATGGGCGATCCTCCATTTGCGCAAGATCAATATCATAGATAGGCTTGTCGTTGATCATTGGAACAGCATCGATATCGAGCTTGCCTGTTTGACTTACATCACCTCGTCCACATCCAGTCGGGAACCTTTTCTGAAACCACTGAAAACATTTTTGAAAAACAACAATGTTGCTTCATGGTCCACCATTTCAGTGACGTTACCATTGATATGATGGACCGTGAAGCAAACAAAATTCCAAACAAAATTTCGGGAAACAAACTCCACTAGATCTAAATCAGCGCTCAGGCTCGGAGTGAGCTTGAAGAAACCTGCGGCTTGACATAACTTCTTTTTAGTTTGAATGTAAACCACATCAGAAGCTACTGTATTTTTAACGTTACTCACAACTTATTGCCACCCCTTACAGGCGGTATCACACCAATCGTCACTTCAACATCGTCGTCGTCATCATCATCTCCAGAGTCAGCGAGCGGATCTAAAACGACCTCTTCGAATTCATTTGTTCAATTGAGCATGAGCGAATAGCTTTATCTTGGCAAACAATTTAATTTGATTTTCTTAAGTAAAATTCGAGTCACATAAGCGTTCTGAGCGAGAGGAGGCCTCAAAGCAACCATATCAGATCCGTCTTGAATCTATGTAATGGCTAGAGGAATCGCAGCAGAGTTTGAGTGACTGAGTTCCTGTATCAAAAATGGAGCCAGATTTCGAAATTCAATCTACCCAAATGGAGTCTTCCGACTTTAACTGCATCTAAGCGCGTAGCAACCTAAACCAAAAGCGTCAAGTTTCGTCTGTAATTCTTTTAGTGACCCAATCTTTTGCGAAGAAATCTCCCGCATGTCCCATTCAAGAGTTAAAAGCAAGCTTAAGAGCACATATTACTATGGCAGCACCAATACCACTACCCCCCCGTTGGTACCGTCAGTTCGCGCTGCGCAGCGCGTTGCCTTGCTCGAACCTCCACGCGCCACGAGCCCGCATCCTCCTCTTATTCCCATTTACTCGATATACTTGAAAATAGAGACAACACACAGTCCCACGTCCACGCCCCCCCGCAAAACCATGCATCACGGTGTCAAAGTATGAAATCGGAAAATGACCGAAGCAGAAAAAAGGAACTTATAGAACTCTTCATTTGTACACAGTGCATTGCTTAGTACAATCTGTTTGCCACAGAATCAGACACATCAAAGCAGAGATCTAGGCGCATCCTAAGTCGGGGAACACATTGAAACTCACGTAAGAAATTAAGTATATCGCGGAAAGTAACACGATCAGGAATGCTAACAGATTTCTCATGTCTCCATCTGGCCTAATATTTAAACAACAAAATGAACCTTAATAACGAGGCCTAATATTAAACAACAAAATGATGAATAGGAGATTCATTCGCGACTAGAAAACAGCAAACGGAACACCTTAATTCACTAGTCATGAAATCACAATGAGACGATGCATGGGGAAATCATTAGGCTCTAAGCCTTGCTACAAAGTCAATGGGCATCTCACGTCTAGACATCAATAAGAAAGCGATTTGGATAGAATTTCAAACCTTCCGTAGAATCGTCACGACAAAGTTTTGCCTGTTCTTCAGCAGCAAGTAATCTGAAAAAAAGCATTGTAACAGAATTTCTATAAGGAATACTCGAAGTGGGAGGTTTTCTATACAGCATTGGCAGTTTACATCCTCGTAATGACTCAACGACTGGTTGGCACAAAGTAAGAAAAAGCCTAAAGCAACAACCCCAGATCATAATGGTGGGGTAACAGCGGTTGCTAATGAAACTGTGGATGACGAGTGAACTTAAAATGAAAAAAAGAAGTAAAGCGAACGTTCATTAAGTCCCTTAACAATTGACGACAGCGCGGCCACTATGTTTGCCGCCATTTACACACCACGTCGGACATTTGTGCAAGCCATGTATGTAACAACCACTATATCTAGTTTATTCACACATGCCCGACTTCTGCCCAAATTATTTTGCGTTCGTTCCATAGGGCACACATCGAAATGACCGAAAACCGCGTGCCTTGGAAAATGACCAAATATTTTATGGTTCAGCAAGGTTTTCCAGACCTTACTAAAACATCTGTTCTGTTTATTCCTGTTTTCTTTCATTAAACGAAACACGTAGACGAAAAAGATAACAGAAGCGAATACAAACCTATTCACATGACAAGATATATGTTTTTACTGAAACAACCACGTTCAAAATAATTTTGGAACCACTAAAGCAAAGTAAGCAAAATTTGCTTTCTCCTAGCCATAACATGTGATTTTGGTCGACTTCCACTACTGTAAGTCATGATAAGATGAACAGATTCATCAATGGGAACATTTTGCCGCACGAAATTTTGCGTTGTTTGCAGCTCAAAATCCACGGTTATGATACAGTGGTGCCTGCAAAGGTCCTATGCGGCTTCAAAGTCAAAACACGCGATGTCGTCAATATGTTAAAAGGACTCCTCCTCTTTCCACTTGAGATCAGGGACGGTCGTTTACAGACCACCGGACGACTTGTCTGAACTTGCTTGTTCGGGCTCCGCTATCCCGCGCGTATTCAAAGTATTCGTTTTGTTGCCATCCACGTTACGTGAAAGGGGTGTGCGGGAGGTATCTCTCTTAGCTTTCATTGGGTGTTTTCAGCTCACTTTGTAAACGCCACTGTCGCGCACTTCGAACCGTGGCAGCAGCACAT